GGGTGTGGCCAGGAAGGTGAGGTAGTGGGTGTGTGGCCAGGAAGGTGAGGTAGTGGGTGTGTGGCCAGGAAGGTGAGGTAGTGGGGATGTGGCCAGGAAGGTGAAGAATAGGCTAATCTTCTCTTCAGCACATTAGGCTATTCTATCACATAAATATAACTATTGTATCAACATAAACTCGTGTCTCTAATATCACAAACCCTCTTGTAATAGTCACTAGTTATCAGGAACATACATGACTATGAAACAATACATAAACAATTACTTAAGAATATGATATAATGTCAATGTTAAGGATCACTGCTTCAACAATTATTAGTCTTCCATGGAGTGTCTGTACGACAAATTGTGGCTCACTGTGCTACTGCTCTCCTCTTCATCAATATTGTTAGCCACAGTCCTTATTAAACCTGGGCTTTTAACATGTAAATAAATAAAAACGAGTAATCACTCTCGCCTCCATTCACTGCGTCAAGTATACTGATACAATGAACTCCTCTTACAAACAAATAGATGTCCATCGATCCCTGTGGATCAACTATGGATTAATCCTCAGAAGCTTCTTCCCTATTGATCTATCCTCTTGCAGGCCAACTGTAGAACCATCAATCACTTGGTCTTCAAATGGATATGAAGGCCTCGCATGCACGAACTTGCAAGTTTAACAATCTCTCTCTCCATAAACAACGAGAATTAATTAAAATACAAATTCACTCCACCCTCATGGTCCAGCTGGCTCTCCCTGTGAACTGCGAAGGGTACTCCCCCCTTCCGGGCGAGTCCACACCTAACACCGCCTGCAGTTGTTGACCGTCAGTTAAAGATCAACCACCATCGAGGGAGGATGTGTCGCTCTCTTTTCCCTCATGCTATTTCATGTTAATTCTCTAATATTCTCCTCATAATCACTATATACATGACTAATTTATATATCCAAGTCTCACTATAAGATCAATGGACACTAATCCTCTGTGCACATGGCAAACTATACCCATCAAAGGCGCTTACCACAAAAATACTGGAGCGATGACGCTTGTCTCCTGTGTCAAGATGGCGCCTGGGACTCACCTCCTTCAGGTCGCCCACAAATTCTTCATTCGACCGTCACTGTCGACTTCTCTTGTACCGACTCGGGTGTGTGGGGGGTCAATACACGGGTGGCAACTCTGCTCACCTGTCAACAGGTCCTCACCTAGGACAACTAGACCTCCTCTAGGTCTATCCAGAGGACCACCAAGGTACCATCACCCTCCTCTGGCTTCAGGCCGCCCTTCTGGCGCCACAGGTGGAGACGACCGCTCTCTTCTTGCTCACATCACTTGCCTCAGCCACAGTGCACTGCAGTTGCTTTACCAAAACGCAAGACGTGTACTGTCTTCTAAGCGGCGGGGAAGTGCGTGCGCCCACCTTGACCCCACACTGACGAGTGACGACGCCACACGTCGCACACCTGTACACGACACGTCGCTCCCTTGCTGCTTCCTCATTGGCTAGTCATGACGTCATTGTGCGTTGCCCTCTATGGGGTTCCCGACACCGTCGCCAGCCTTTCATTTTCCAACAAAGTTGCTCAGTAACACCTTAATGCCTCCACAGGGCCTCTTGTGTATCATACAACGGCGGTTTACCTTGCAAACTATGCTATAACTCTTATTTTAATCTTCTGTAGGATCGAGTGAGGAATAACTCTCATGTTGGGATGGGCCTCAGGCATCAGGCTGTATGGGGGGGGGACAATAAAATACTGAAGTTCCCTTAAGCGTCGACAGGTGTCGCAGTGGTTAATTGCTATCTAACACTTATACACTATGTTAACACATAGGTCTAGGTACACCGCACTAAGAGACCGAAACACAACATCCCACCTTAATTAGGCTTCGCCACGCCTACAATGACAATTTTCCCCTACTTTTCCTGCATTGAAGACTGATACATTTGAAAAGCTCATAGACTAAGATTTGAGCAACTAAGTTAAATATCTATTTCGGAAATGTCTTGTCTATTCCCCTGGCACCTGACAGTTGTGGTAGGAACGGGAGACCTAGATTAATTAATAATAATTCTGCTGTGACATGCGATGATGCCATTGACAGCCACTATGAACTATTAGGCTGTTGTGACGTCATCCGGTCGTTACTGACCATAAATGTCTCTGCTGTATCCTCCTTCTGTTACTCTATTTAGGTTCATAAAGAAGTGAGTAGCGTGACTGACGAGGGAAAAATAGAGTGAATCCATTATCATTATTATTATTATTATAACTGAGTTGACTTATCTCGTTTGATATTGATAGCTGGTGACGGCCGATTGCCCAATTTTTGTCTTTATTTTTGTATTGTTATTAATATGCACATGTAATCGATCCTGATTTTATATAACCTTGTACTAGATATGTTTATTTTGATGACTGGAAATTTCCTTTGGATTAATGATCTATTGTGCTTTCTTCTATGGTTGAAAAGGGTTTCCAATGTCTTATCCAATGTTTTTCCAATGTCAGTAATCAGTAAATGTACTCCGCACCTTTAATGCAATAATCTGTAGTCGAAAGAGTGCTATATATTTGTGGAGGCATCAAGACACCTGAAGCCTAGTGTCCTAGACCCAAATAATTCCCAGAGGAGAGATTATAGGAGTGTGAGAGGCTACTGTTTATTATTATTATTATTATTATTATTTATTGTTTACTATATGTTATGTAAGTTTGGCAAGTGTTATTTTCCTTACCAGTGGGTTGTGGAGAGGTCTGCGGTGTGTCATTGTAGCGATAATACCTTAATGAAACCATGTGGGACAGCTAGACCAGATTCAGGAGAGAGCCTGGTAGTACTTAGTGAGTACTTAGTGGAGTACTTAGTGGAGTACCTGGTGGAGTACTTAGTGAGAGCAGTGTGTGCTCAGGTCCGGGAAACGACTCTTCACAGGTAGGTTCTTCTCATTTCCTGGTGAAGTTTAGCTCCTAGTGATACTGTGAGGCCAAGATATCCCAACTCGTTCTCCCGAGCGTTCACAACGTTACTGAACTGTTGGACTCAACTGCCCGAACCTAACCCACCCGAGGACCTACCAACATAATATGGGACATCGCGTCAATTTCGCGACCCGTTACGAATTTCAATACAACACTTTTTCGACTTAGGGGAAATTATACGTCAAAATGCGATGCACTATCTAGGAGAACGGATTGTTTACTGATTTTGACTATGGTGGAGAGGACGCAGGCAGGCATAAGTAAAAAAAAGCCTCGCAGTTCCAGCTGAGTGTAAGTTGATTCCGTGCACTCTGTGCTGTTTTGGCTCAATTGTTGTGTTTTTGAGTAAAAGAATTACGACTTTAATTGTGACAGCATTTTTTAGGTTTTAGGAATCAGGATCTCTCGGCTCTGGCTACCAGGATCCATGAAGAACTAGTACCACCAATGACTAGTTACCATGACTCAAGATCGTTTTTAAACCATATAGTTTTGATCGTTCGGCCGGTGATGGGGAGGTGATGCCGGGTGTGTGGTGAGGGAAGGGGAGATGAGTGCCTAGTGCTGACTAGGTGAGGGAAGAGTAGGTGTAAGGTGAAGGGAGGCCAGGTGAGTGGAGAGACGTAATCTTGATATTATAATTATATTTGTTTATCAGAATGTGTTTGTGGAAGAGCATGGACATGTGAGCAGCGCACTCACCTGGTTGTGCTTGCTGGGGTTGAGCTTCGGCTCTTTGGTCCCGCTGGATGGAATGGACTTGGTCTGAGGACGGGTTGTGGCCTTGTGTGTGTGAGTATGGGTGAGTAAAGACGGACTAACCCATGGAGTGGCCTTAACGGTTCTTAGGACATGGATAGGATAGGATAGGATACGTGGACCGTTTAGGGACTAGTGTGTGCAGACCGGTCATGATCCAGTTAACGGACCATTTAGGGTCCAAGGTATGGACCAGAATGGACCGAGAATGTGGTCCAGGAGCAGCCTGGCAAGTGCGTCTAGACAAGAATTAATAAGACCCTTTGACAGTAATTTGGAATGTTGAGGAGAGAGCTGTATACACGCCTAATGTCTATATAATACAATCAGTTCTACAACACACCAAGATGTTGTGCAACCTTTCCTTGTACTTCACCCGTGAGTCACGAGTCCAACAGCGTCACGGAACTAGCGAGTGACGTAACACCACAAGCGAGATAAATGATTGTTGCTACGTAACCTAAATACAGCAAATGTATCATAGTTAAATACAACAGGAAACCTGGTGAGGGGTGAGGGAAGACCAGGTGAGGGAGGGGGGACCAGGTGAGAGAGGAAGGTAGTCCAGGTGGTGTCAGGAGTAAGGTGACGGAGTGTGTCAGGAGTAAGGTGACGGAGTGTGTCAGGAGTAAGGTGACGGAGTGTGTCAGGAGTAAGGTGACGGAATGTGTCAGGAGTAAGGTGACGGTGTGTGTCAGGAGTAAGGTGACGGAGTGTGTCAGGAGTAAGGTGACGGAGTGTGTCAGGAGTAAGGTGACGGTGTGTGTCAGGAGTAAGGTGACGGAGTGTGTCAGGAGTAAGGTGACGGTGTGTGTCAGGAGTAAGGTGACGGTGTATGTCAGGAGTAAGGTGACGGAGTGTGTCAGGAGTAAGGTGACGGAGTGTGTCAGGAGTAAGGTGACGGTGTGTGTCAGGAGTAAGGTGACGGAGTGTGTCAGGAGTAAGGTGACGGAGTGTGTCAGGAGTAAGGTGACGGTGTGTGTCAGGAGTAAGGTGACGGTGTGTGTCAGGAGTAAGGTGACGGAGTGTGTCAGGAGTAAGGTGACGGTGTGTGTCAGGAGTAAGGTGACGGTGTGTGTCAGGAGTAAGGTGACGGTGTATGTCAGGAGTAAGGTGACGGAGTGTGTCAGGAGTAAGGTGACGGTGTGTGTCAGGAGTAAGGTGACGGTGTGTGTCAGGAGTAAGGTGACGGTGTGTGTCAGGAGTAAGGTGAGGGAGCCAGGTGAGGGTGTCAGGTGAGAGATAAGGAAGGTGGGGGGGGGGGTCATACCTGAGGCCTTGGGGGTGGAGTCAGAGGAGAAGTAGCCATCATCTCTGGCGAGGTGCGGTGGCGAGGGTGCTGGGGCCAGGCGGGTGGCGATGCGGCCGCCCCCCGCCAGCCGCACCTCGGTGGCTGCGGCTGGCGGGGGTGCTGCTGGGGGGGTCACGCCCACGCCCCCAGGCTCGGGCGGGCACAAGCCTGCCGCAGGGGCTGGTAAGGGCGACGCAAGCGGCGCCGAGGTCTGGCTGCACGACATGTGGAGGGAGGTGTGGGGAGGTGCGGGAGGTGCGGCCACATGCAGGGGTGGGGCAGGAGGCTCACCTCACCTACCCCGACACCTGAGTTCACGGGGTTGCGGTCAGGGGGCGGTGGGGCGGAGGGCGCGGGGCTTGGGGACCCGCGTGCGGGCGCGTGGCTGCGGCCGACCGCCGGTCATGGACGCAGAAGACGGAGTAGTGGTGGTGGCCGGTCCCAGCGGCGGGTGAGGCGCGAGTGTGGCCGGCCACCTGCAGCTGCTCCCAGCTGCCCCGGGGCGGAGCCACAGGTCCCGCCTCCTTCACCCGGGGCGGAGCCACAGGCCCCCGCCTCCTTCACCCGGGGCGGAGCCACAGGCCCCGCCTCCTTCACCCGGGGCGGAGCCACAGGTCCCGCCTCCTTCACCCGGGGCGGAGCCACAGGCCCCGCCTCCTTCACCCGGGGCGGAGCCACAGGCCCCGCCTCCTTCACCCGGGGCGGAGCCACAGGTCCCGCCTCCTTTACCCGGGGCGGAGCCACAGGCCCCGCCTCCTTCACTCGGGGCGGAGCCACAGGCCCCGCCTCCTTCACCCGGGGCGGAGCCACAGGTCCCGCCTCCTTCACCCGGGGCGGAGCCATAAGTCCCGCCGCCTTCACCCGGGGCGGAGCCATAAGTCCCGCCGCCTTCACCCGGGGCGGAGCCATAAGTCCCGCCGCCTTCACCCGGGGCGGAGCCATAAGTCCCGCCTCCTTCACCCGGGGCGGAGCCATAAGTCCCGCCTCCTTCACCCGGGGCGGAGCCATAAGTCCCGCCTCCTTCACCCGGGGCGGAGCCATAAGTCCCGCCGCCTTCACCCGGGGCGGAGCCATAAGTCCCGCCGCCTTCACCCGGGGCGGAGCCATAAGTCCCGCCTCCTTCACCCGGGGCGGAGCCATAAGTCCCGCCGCCTTCACCCGGGGCGGAGCCATAAGTCCCGCCGCCTTCACCCGGGGCGGAGCCATAAGTCCCGCCTCCTTCACCCGGGGCGGAGCCATAAGTCCCGCCTCCTTCACCCGGGGCGGAGCCATAAGTCCCGCCTCCTTCACCCGGGGCGGAGCCATAAGTCCTGCCTCCTTCACCCGGGGCGGAGCCATAAGTCCCGCCTCCTTCACCCGGGGCGGAGCCATAAGTCCCGCCTCCTTCACCCGGGGTTGACATATAAGCCCAACCTTCCTCGCCTGGAATAGAGCCACATGCCCCTCCTTCCTCGTCCGGGGAGGCGTCACATACGCTGCCTCACTTCACCTGGGGTGGAGCCATTTGCCCCACCTCCATCGTTCAGAATAGAGCCATGTGCCCTGATTCCAAAGTCCTGGATGGAATTATATGCCACACCCACCTGGTCCTGGGTGGAGCCGTATACCACAGCCACATGGTCCTGGGTGGAGCCATGTGCCACATTTTTCTAGTCCTGGGTGCAGCAATATGCCACACCTAATTGAACTTGCGTGTAGCGATATCGCACATCTTCCTAGTCCTGGGTGGAGCCATGCGTATATTAGAACTACAAGGTCCTGGGTGGAGCCATGTACCAGACCTACCTGATCCTGGGTGGAACCATATGTTCCGCCTCCACCTTCATCTCTTCACCTGCAAGAGGCCTGATAAAGTATGGTAATTATCAGGAGACCGCTAAGACAGAAAGATTGCATAGCAGCTTGAAGGGATATGACGACAAAGCAGATGGGATATGAAGATGTAGTGAAGGAACTGTTCCCAACCACTTGAATCATCGGGGTTCGAACGCCAACCATACAAGACGTAAGGCCGCTACCTTACCTTACCAACCAGTTCGAGTGGATGGACAAAAGCTTGCCTACATGGCAGATGAAAACATTAATGCTCTAGACCAGTGCTTCTTTATCTTTTCCAGCATCATTAACCCTAAATAATTGTTTTCAACATTAGCTCTACTTCGAATACAGATAAAAAATAGTAAATAGCAACGATCTTTATTATAGTTGATTTAGAGTTCTTAGTCCTGAACACAGTAAAGTCTCAGTGTATATACACCGAGGAAGTTGGTATACATCTTTGTGTATATCCCCGCATGATGCTACTTATTATAGGGCGTCGAAGGCCGCCAAAATCTGAACATTTAACAGATGACTGTAATAAAAAATATTCAAACACACTTTGATTATTCAATATATAGCACCTTCATTATTTAATGTATCCGATTATTATCGAACTATTATGATTATACCGATGTATAACCCTAATAGGCTTATTATTCAGAAATAATAACCCTATTTGGTATTATTACTTCTGAAGTACTTTTAAATGGTGATTTGGTAATCGTGTGGAAGAACAGAAGCCAAAATAGAAGATAGTGGACAATTTTGGTCGCTGAAGGTGTAAAATATTACACCCCATTTATTGAGGCTAAAAAATACAAAACAAAAACTTTTAAAAATATTAACTAGATCATTAATATTACCTTGAAAATCATTGATATGGCGAAAACCAGAAACTATTCTCCCCTAAGCATATCATTTGATGTTTAAGCCATATTTCCCATAATTTATAGTGCTGAGCTCTGAATATAACTATATTTAGTCATTCGAAAGCTTCTCATTGTGATTTTAGGCTTCCTGACACTTTGTGAGGACATCACTAACAGTCAGGTTGTACACATCACAGTGAAGACAGAGACACTTCTCAACCAACCCGCGGGGCCTCAACTTTGAACTAGCTTTAGTAGTCAGTAGTCCACTGTGAAACTACTACCACGGTTATCAATGTGGTAGTCAGTAGCCTCACTGACTACTACCTAATAATGATGAAAAAATGTAATATATTAACTATTGTACCCAAGAAAATTTCGACGTTTTGAGTCACAGAAATGTCAATGTTAGATGGACGAGCTGTACACATTCACTCTAGGCCAGCCACGACGCGTCGGCCGGTGCGACACGTCGCCTCCCACAGTCACCACGACGCGTCGGCCGGTGCGACACGTCGCCTCCCAGTCACCACGACGCGTCGGCCGCAAAATTTGATGGATGGGTCGTCTTTTCCCGCGCTAAATGTTATCGCTCTGCCTCTGGCTCTGACATTTTATGAAATTTTTCGCCGGCGGCGTCGAATTAAATTTAACCGTTATTATTTATTGTATTGCGTACGCGCGCGCGTACACACTCACAAAAAAGCAAGCAAAAATAGAGAATAAACTAAACTAATAGCCCTGGCGAATTTATTTAATAGTGTTCTAAATTCAAAAAGAGATGGAATAAACTAAAGTATATATTATTAGATTTATTCGTGAAACTTTACCACACAGTAAATGTGGCAATGACGAAAACTCAATTACTGGCAGAAAACCAATATTAGAACTGCTTTTAGGATACTAAACTATCATGAGGAGACAAGCTTGTATTATCTGAAGAGATGACAATTAACCGTCTCCATTATCTGGAGAGAAGAATAATGTTCTGTGAATGCTACTTTGACCTGATACGCATCATTGACCTGACATGAACTGATCCCAAAAATCCAAATGTTTACTGATGATGCGAAACTAATGATACCCATGTACATGGGCAATAGTCTTACTGGTTCCGGAAGATGAGAGGAAATGTCAGCATTGGAGATATGCCCGACAGACCACTGGAACATTATCTAACACAGTGCACAGTTACAACCACAACAGACCACTGGAACATTATCTAACACAGTGCACAGTTACAAACCCAATAAGATTTCAACTAAGATTCAACAGAGCAGAGGAAGTTGTTAAACACATGGGAAGCATAATCCTACTGAAGCGACCATACGAGTCATAAACACTCATACTCCGCCCAAGTGAAACAAGAAACAAGGACCACTTAGTGGGCCAGCCAGAGGCTTAGGGCCCGCGCAGGAATATCCCTTAAAAAATAATGATAATGATGATAATAATGAAATTTAAAAAACAAGCCACAACAGAAAAACCTTTCTGAAAAGGCACAAGACAAAGGCTCTAAGATAAGCAACAAGGTCGGTCCTGAGCTGAAAAATCAGTTTGAGGCAATGATGTAACTTGAACCAGCGTTCTGGTAATTCCCGCACACCTGCCTTAACCGACTCGGCCGTGATGGGCAAAAGTCGACCGACCCGGAATTCTACTGAATCCACTGGGGGGTTCTGGAGGCCCCGAACCGGAGCCCAACCAGGGTTTTGCAGGTCGACCTGACCACACTCTGGTCTGCGGTAATGGTGTTTTGCCCATCCTGGTCAAGTCGGTTAAGACAGGTGTCTGGGAATCACCGGGACGCTGGTTCAAGTCGCATCATTGCCGCAAAATGATTTTCATTGATATATTACACCATTGTGATTTCATTGTGATCTGAAAGGGACGGAAGAATGTGAACACCTTTACCGCAGGCCAGAGTGTGGGCGGGTCGATTGTAAAATCCTGGTTGGGCTCCGGTTCGGGGGCTCCAGAATCCCCCAGTGAATTCAGTAGAGTTCTTGTTGGTCGACGTTTGCCAATCGTGGCCGAGTTGGTTAAGGCAAGTGTCTGGGAACCAGACGTATGGGGGTAGCCTCACCCAAACTGGCAGAATAGTCAGGGACCGAGGATGAAAATAAGCTGATCGGAGTCGCCAGAATTCGAACAAGAACAGCGTGTCAGGTTCGCATTCAGACCCCCCACGACGAATTTTGGCACTGTCCGCTAGCTACACATATAAATATCTTGAAAACAAACATTAAACAAAATTTTTATAGTAATATGCACCGTTATTCACCGATCTCGGGAAATTTAACATAAATTTCCTACTATACATAGTTTGCCCGTACTTGCATAAAATAGTCGATCCTCACACAGATAGATATATGTAGAGATGGGAGAGAGAGAGAGAGAGACCCGGGCCACGCTGGCTAACCCTCCTCCCCTTCCCCTCCCCCTAGTAAATCTACCCTATAAGAGAGGATGCTTCACTGTCCAAAGATGGCAGCCAGATGCCTGGGGCTAGCCTCACTTGGAGGCCAGATGCCTGGGGTTAGCCTCACCCAAATTTGCAGGAGATGCTGGTCTGGTCTACGGGACGGACAGAGGCTGGCGACGGTAGGCCTAAATTAAATGCAGTGAGCATAAATAAATGTGAGCCTGAAATCCTTCCCCCAACGTCCAATTCTAATGAAATCGCGGATGTGATGTCCGTAGACTTTATCGGTTCCTCGAACACTATTAACTCAATTCATTTGTGTTAGTGATGTGAATTGGGATGATGGTTAGTGATGAAAATAGCTCAGTAAACTTTACATAAATATTCAGACTGAGAGATACAGAGAAAGAGATAAATATAGAGTTTGAGAGAGAGAGAGAGAGAGAGAGAGAGAGAGAGAGAGAGAGAGAGAGAGAGAGAGAGAGAGAGAGAGAGAGAGAGAGAGAGACTAACAGAGAAAGACAGACAGACAGATACAGACAGACATACAAACAAAGAGACAGACAGAAAGAGAAGGATGGGATGACTGCATTTTCTTGGACTGTCAGAAAGCCTTTGACACAGTACCTCATAAAAGGCTGCTACAAAGGTTGGAGCAACAGGCAAGAGTGAAAGGTAAGGTGCTCCAGTGGATAAGGGAGCATCTAAGCAACAGGAAACAGCGAGTATCTGTGAGGGGGGAGACATCAGAGTGACGAGATATCACTAATGGAGTCCCACAGGGCTCTGTACTTAGACCCATCCTGTTTCTAATATTTGTAAACGATCTTCCAGAGGGTATAGACTTATTCCTCTCAATGTTTGTTGCTGATGCAAAAATTATGAGAAGAATGAAGACAGATGAAGATGTACAGGACGACCTGGACAAACTGGAGGAATGGTCTAGAAAATGGCTACTAAAGCTCAACTCAGGAAAGTACAAAGTATTGAAATTAGACGAAGGGAGCAGAAAACTGAACACAAGGTATCATCTGGGAGGTGAAATCTTGCAAGAATCAAATAGAGAGAAAGATCTGGGGGTTGATATCACACCAAACCTGTCCCCAGAAGCCCACATCAAAAGGATATCATCAGCGGCATATGCTAGGTTGGTCAATATAAGAACTGCCTCTAGAAACTTGTGTAAGGAATCGTTCGGGGCCCTGTATACCACTTATTGATTTGTTGCCGCCCGAGGCGGCTAGTTTATTGTGCAC